CTGAGGTGATACTCACGTGAGTTAGTTAATGTAAGTTTGTGTAATTCATTAACCAACTCATCGAAAGTACACGATTTTGTTATGAACAACGGTCTCGTCGTGCCTCCTTCATAAACGGGCATATTATTTTCGAGGTAATTAATCTTCCCATTATAAGAACAGAGAATTACAAATCGATCGTTCATCGTTACCTCTGAAGAGTGAAAAATTCAATATCAATATTACACGAAAAGCCAAATAAATATTGATTGTTACTAATTTTTACATTTAGGTAGTAACTCTAATTTCCACATTAATTGATAATTTCACCTCTAAATACACAAAATTATTTAATACATCTTCACAAAATTCATAAATAATTCACAATTAAATTCTAAAATCTAATTTATATCATACATATGTAAAATCTAATTTTTCTTCACAAAATCTAAATAATTCACAATTAAATTCTAAACTCTAAGTACAATAATTTTCGAAGTTATTGATAATTTCCCCTCTAATTTCACAAAATTATTGATAATTTACACACTAATTCTTCACAAATTTCACAAAATGATTGATAATTTTCCCATTGATAAATTTCCCTCTAATTTTCACATTTATTGATAATTTCCCCTCTCACATTTATTGATAATTTTCCCTCTAATTTTCACATTTCTTCACAAAATTCGTAAACCATTCACAATTAAATTCTAAAATCTAGATTTTTACATGTAATCACAATCAAATAGTGAGAGTATACAAAAATTAGAGAGTATAGCTTTTTTAGGAAGAATTTACCTGTTTTTTTGGAATATTTGACTGAGATCTGAAGGGAGGTGGCGGTCGGAAGCTGGGGCGCCGGCGGCGGTCGGAAGCTGGGGCACCTACGGGCATCGAGCCTGGGCGCGACAGTCGGAGCTGGGTGGCGATTGACTGGAAGCGGCGCGATGGGAACGAGGGAAATATTTGGTTTGTGGCAGCGTCGGGTGGCCAGCCGCGTTATATGAGGGTACAACTCCACCGGAGTTTCAACTCCGTGGATTGCAGTCAATTTCCCAGAGACCTCGATCTCTGGAATGTGGCCTGACTCACGCGAGTTGAACTCCCGTGAAGTTGCAGTCCCAATTTCCCAGAGATCGATTCTCTGGATATGTTGGACTGTAACTCCACGGGAGTTGAACTCCCGTGGAGTTTTAAGCAGAAATTAAACTTCACGGGAGTTCAACTCCCGTGAAGTTTAATTTCTCATTAAACTTCACGGGAGTTGAACTCCCGTGATGTTTCGGAGAACTCTTTATAAAAACCGACTTGTTTTCAGCGCTGGGCTGAAAACAGGTCGGTTTTTGTAATTATTTTCAAAAGGGGTCGGGCTGAAAACAGGTCGGTTTTTGTAATTATTTTCAAAAGGGGTCGGTTTTTGCAAATAAAATCCTAAAAGGGGTGGTTTTGAAAATTGTAATTATTTTCAAAAGGGGTCGGTTTTTGCAAATAAAATCCTAAAAGGGGTGGTTTTGAAAATTTGTCCATGAAAATGCCCTTAATTTTTGGCAAACATGAGTACATGACCAATAAACAATATAATGAATGATGTTTTTCTTTTGGAATTAAAGTTGAAATGGTGAAACTAGAAAGTAAAACTTTTGTGAAACAAACATTTTCTATATTGAATGTCATTTTTGTAATTTCCAGCAACGAGAAAGAGTTAAACTTTAAAGGCTTATTATTAACATACTTTCCCTTTTTCTTTTTTTTTTCTTTTTTCTTTTTACTTCAACACTCATTTCATCAATTTTGAGCGGAAGTCAAAATTGTAAGATATCTTATATAGTGACATCACTCATACATTTTCAAGTGGTACTATCACATAAATAAGCATATAAAGTGCATGAAAGGTCTTCAGTTCTGCATTTCCAACACCACTTTCTTCCTACAAACATTATGTCAAGCGAAAATATTACCACAACCACAAAGATTGTATGTTTTACCCGAAAAGATTTGGGAGTCTCAACTTGATGTTGTCTATTGGACTGTTAGTATTCATGTAAAGAGTCTTTTGAGATCACTCTATGAACCACCTTTCGACTCATTGATGATGATCTTTCTATTATCACCCTTTACACTGAAAGTGTATAAAGTAGTGAATTAGAATAAAATAGTAGTTGTTGAATGCTTGGTTGATTTGATTTATGCGAATATTCTAGTACCAGCTTCTTAATGTTTTTCTAACTTCAGCCCTAGTACCATGGAGAACTTACCCTTGCAAAATTAGGCGCTCTAAAAGTATAATATGTTATTTACAAGTAAAAAATTAACATCATTATGAATATTATGCGTTACATAACCCATAATTTTCATTAGGTTTAGAGATATTTAGTCTCACGAACTTCACTTCACAATGTCAAACAGTTTTACTCACTAGTAAGGTCCTAACTCCTAAGTATACAATGTGAAGTGTAACTATGTCTCATTGTCTACGCAACGAAAATTAAGTTATGCAGAGGATGTTATGAAACTCCTTTTTAAAACTATGATACATAAGTATAAGCTAGATAACAATAGTTCTGACATCCGAACAACCCCATCTTTATAAAATAAACTTAAAGAAAACCAAAGGATAGAGTAGTTTAAATGGGGAACAAGCTAACATCAATTATGGAATCCCATACCGAACATTGCATCATGTTGTTAGTGATTGAACATTTTGCTACTCAGTGAGGTATCTCTTACAACTTTTCTTGCACTATCGCTTCCTGTTTCTTGTTTGTTGGTTTGGGATTGGTTCTATTTTGGGTGCTGCATATTACAAGAGACAATTACATTGCACAATGAAATTATTTTATTCCATTATATTGTATAATACTCCTGGTCACCTTAGGGATTATTTGGACAATGAACCCTTAATATGTGCGCAAAAGCTTCATGTTACTGTATCACATAATTATTTGCACATAATAGACATTTTTCTTTCTGAGTTGTGCTTTGATATACAACACTGATATTAGCGAACCTTGTCTTTATCATAACTTTCTGCTGAAAGGTGTGTTTGGATATCATATTGATTTTCTTGTTGTGTTTTTCACTATGCCGTTTTTCTTGATACAACCTGTTTTCAAAAACACCATGGTTAGTTTGTTTTGTCAAAGCTAGCTCGACTCTTTCCATACATATATTATAACATTATCTTATATTATTGTAGATGTATTACATAAAAAATGTGTTAATATAATATATTAAGCACACTAATAATATATTATAATAATTATATTATCTTATTATATTATATATACTATATAATATTATTAATATATAAAATATTTATACTATATTATAAAGTATAAATTTATTAAGTTATATTATCAAAATGTTTTATTATAATATGATTTATTTTACTAACATATAATAAATTAAATTAATATAATATATTATATATGATAGTAAATACATACTAATGTCAGAATTACATTAACTACCATATAATATTTAAAATATAATATGTTACTAGTTTATTGTAATATTTTATTATAATATAATCTTTTACTATCATATAATAAATTATATTAATATAAGATATTATATGTGATAGTAAATACATAATAATGTTATTAATTACATTAACTACCATATAATATTTAAAAATATAATATATTACTAGTTTTATAATAGGAAACTATAATGTAATATGTTATGTATATATTAATTGTTATAATTATTGTTGTATATTTTATTATAATTTAATATATTAAATATAGAAACTGTAATATAATATATTATGTATATATTAATTATTATAATTATTGCTGTATATTTTATTATAATTTAATATATTAAATACAATAAATTAAATTTATAGAATATAGTGATATTTGATATTATATTATTGTAATGGGTTTGATGGTTATGAAGTGCCAGATCATTTAGCAAAATAAGCTATCAAGAGATAGAAGTGCGAGGCCACACATTTTGATCTGACTTTTAGGGTGGGCCTCATGAAGTGCTGGATAATTTAGCATAGTAAGCTATCAAGAGATAAAAGTGCGAGGCCCACACATTTTGATGTGACTTTTAGAGATAGCCTCATCACATGGTTATCTCTTGGTACCTCATGTTGCTAAATGAGCCGCCACCCCATACCCATTATTTCCTTAATAATAAGATAATATATTACAATATAGTATTATGATATAATACAATATATTATAAATTTATAATTTATTGTCATGTAATATATTATATTCAAATATAGCAAATTTAATTAATAAATATATTATTATAAGTTATCATTGTATTAATATAATATAAGAAAAATATATTTTGATATATATAATATTTTATTAATAGTATTATATTCTGGTAATATATTATACTAATGATATTATATAATATTATATTAAAATGTATATATAATAGTAAAAATATATCATAATTCCAAATTTTATTATCATATAATATTTTATATTGTAACATTATGCATTAATTAATAATATTGAATATATTTTTTTTAAACATTATAGTAATTATAACTAATATATTATATAGTACAAACATAGCATATTTATATTTTATAATATATTATATCAAGCACTGTTAATATATTATAGTCATTATAAGATATTATAATATAATATTATATATTAAACATTATGTTACTAAACCCAAAGCACTTCTCAAAATTCCAAACACCTAAAAGGTGTTTTCAGACAAGTGTTTTGTTTTTTGCTTTTTGGCCACAAGTGTTTAATTTTTACCATGAAAACACCATGGTTTCCAAACACATGTTTTTATTTTGGCGAAAACACATTGGAAAGCGGAGGAAAAAAAACACCATGGTTGCCAAGCATTACCTTCCTTTTTCCTGGTTTTGATTGATCCGTAATTCATCATTTGAGCAATCATCATATTATGCAACTACCTTCCCCCTTCTGCTTGTACTTTGTTTCTCTACTCAATCCAGTATGCTGGTGGTTCTGGTGCATTTATTGAATCCAACTACAGTATCTTATTATGTTTTGTACAATCAGGTTATGGTCCTGCTGGATATGCTTTATTTGTTGCTGTATATGCTGGTTTGGAGGTGAGATATTATGACAGCGACCCCACTTTGACAAGGTTTTTTTTGGTATTTAATAGTCTTTTTTAAGCAATTTTGTTGCACCTCCAGGCAAGTTTATTGAGGGAGCTGCCATGTATAATGCTTGCTATATTGGTGAACATGTGGGGATAATATAAACATATGTCACATCTGTTGCAATAATTGCTTCTTCCATTTTACTCATTCCCTTTTAACGACATGATATAGTTTATTATGCTTATCTCAAAGACATGATGCTACTATTTCTTGAACATGATACTTTCTCAACATTAACATAAAAATAGATGGGAAGTTTGATGCGCTAATGGAGGAACTACCAACGCCGTAACTCTTCATGGGAAGTCTAGCATGCAGGATACAAAAGAATTAGTAAAACCAGTTGGACACTGAAAACCTACTTTGGTGAGATTTTAGAGTGCAAAATAGATATAAATTCAAAGCATTTGAACTTGATAATATGCTTCCCATTTTACATAATACTCATAATCTGGATAGTACGTATTGTCTCTTAACCTCATTAGGTCTTCAGCTGTATTGATAAATTTGTTCATTAATTATGACGGGGCGATCGTTAGTCGTTGATCAAGGATTTTATAGATTTTCTAGTATATTTGTTATTTTAGTAATATTTGATGTAATCTCCAAGTTTAGATAAATGTCTCCTTAGGATTAGATGTCGGATTATTAGGATCTTTGAGATTTAATTTGTTAGATATTTTATCTTTGCTCTCTTTTTATTAGGATTTGGTTAGGATTTGATTTACTTTTCAGGTTTGGTTTTTCTCTATAAATAAAGTTGTAATCCTCCATGAGAATTAGACTATGATTAATGAAAAGAAAATTTTTTGAGATGTGAAATCTTTGTTAGCATGTGAAGTGTTAAAGTTATGATGTGTGTAGTGTCGGGGTGTGATGCCTTTGGGTGTGAAGCCCTTTATTTATCCTAGCCCTCCAATTACATCATTCTTCAATCAAAATTATCAAGAAAGGTGAAACTCGAAGACAAATCAGAGCAAAATACTGATTCAGAGACTAATTCACAACAAGAGATGCAATTTGACCTCGAGCCAAAAGCTAAACCACATCAGAAATGAATTCAAAGTTCGAGCGTGAACTCGAACTTGAGCGAGAGCTAGAATGTAAGCTAGAACCAGAAGTTGATTCAAATCCAAAGCTTGAATCAAATCCAGAGCCTGAAATTGGGTCAAGTCTAAAAGCAAAATGTAAGATCGATACACAACGCCATTGTTTTAAATATCCCCGACATGGCCCGATATATCCCCCGATATATCCTTTTACAGGGCTTGCCGCAACCGATATGGTCTTTAAATATCCTTTACCTCTTTTTGGCTATTTTGAGTGACAAATCCCCGATATGGCCGATATATTAGCCGATATGTGGACCAGTATATCTTTTATATAGCTTGTTGCAAAATAATATACCGTGTTTGGAATATTTGGGCGAGATATCAAAATTTCCCTATTATATAAAATGACATTTTGCCCTAAAAAAAGCAGATTGAATGTTGCAACGTTGTTTTGCACTTTTGTTTGTTTTAGAAGGTTGATTAGTGATCCTAAATATATATTATTCATATTTTGTATGCTTAAATTTCATTACATATTTCGAGATTACATTTTAATGCATTATACTATGTATGCAAACATTCATTATGGCATTCCGATATTTAACACATATCCCCGATATTTCCCTGATATCCGCAATCCGATATGAATTTTGGCCATCCGATATTTCCCCGATATCCGATATTTAAAACCTTGCGCAGCGCAAACTCGCGGTCTAGATTAATTTGATTGTTGAGTTCGTTATCCCATACCCTCGCCAGGTTAATATCGAGTTCTACAACTTATCTTGAAACTCCTGCAACCCTCGAAGAAAGACTCACCAAATAAATTACATATTACACTTTTTCACTGTAAAACTCAAGGTCGAGTTTTCTCAAACGAGGGGAGATTTGATGCAGGGCGATCATTAGATGTCGATCAGGAACTTTATAGATTTATTGGCATCTTTATTATTTTAGTGATATTTGATGTAATCTCCAATTTTAGGTAAAGATCTCTTTAAAATTAGATTTCAATTTGTTAGGATCTTTAAGATTTATTTGTTAGAGATTTTATCTTTGCTTCCTTTTTATGAGGATTTGGTTAGGTTTGATATACTTTTTCAGGTTTGGTTTTTCTCTATAAATAAAGTTATAATCCTCCATAAGGAATTAGACTATGATTAATAATTTTTTTTGAGATGTGAAATCTTTGTTAGCATGTGAAGTGTTAAAATTATGACATGTGAAGTGTCGGTGTTGCAGAACTAGGAGAGAAAAATGTTTTAATTTTCTCATTGATTAATTCAAAATTACAGCCTATTATATATAGGAAAGATACAGGCGATAGTAGGAAACTAACCAATCTATAAATCAGGAAACTATTCTAAATATATTTGAATCCCTTAATTAAAGGGATATTGCTAACTATTCTATTTTCTAATTAATATATACATCTCAACACTCCCCCTCAAGCTGAGGACTAGATGTCATGATCCATTCCTAGCTTGGAAACATTATCATGAAAATTAGAGCTGTTTAGTCCCTTTGTCAAAACATCTACGAGCTCGTATCCTGATGGAACATAAGACATCCATACTAGTCCGTCCTCTAGCTTCTCCTTGATGAAATGTCTATCAATCTTAATGTGTTTCATCATATCATGATGTATAGGATTATGAGCAATATTGATAGCTGATTTATTATCACAATAGAGCTTCATAGGTCCTTCCCACTTGACTTTCAAGTTGTATGGAATAATCTTCAGCCATAACATCTCACACAGACCTTGAGCAATTGCTCTAAATTCTGATTCAGCAAATGGTCTAGCCACCACATTCTATTTTTTACTCCTCAAAGTAATAAGATTACCTCCAAGAAAAGTGCAGTAACCCATGGTTGATCTCCTATCAACTATAGATCCTCCATAGTTAGCATCTGTATAAACTTCAAGAGAGAGATTCTTCTGTCTTTTGAACATAATTCTTTTTCCCGGATTTCCTTTCAAATAATGTAACACTCTATAAGCAACATGTAGATGTGGCTCCTGGATCATGCATGAATTGGCTGATCACACACATAATATGCTGCCTGGTCGAGTATGAGTAAGGTAAATGAGTCTGCCTACTAACCTCTGGTACATCTTTTTATCAACAAGCGGTTCTTCCTTAGCTTCTCCAAGTTTCTGGTTTGCTTCTATTGACGTAGATACTAGTTTACACCTGAGCTTCCCTGTCTCCTTCAATAGGTCAATTACATCTGTTGGGATATGAAAATCCCCCCTTTTGAGTATGCCACTTCAATACCTAGAAAGTACTTCAATCTCTTGAGCTCCTTTATCTCGAATTCTTTGATCAGTCAGTGCTTTAATTCTAGTTTCTCCTTTTCATCATTTCCTGTTACTATGATGTCATCAACATATACTAGAAGTGCAGTCACTCCCCTTACAACCGAGTGCTTTATGAAAAGAGTATGATCACATTGACTTTGTTGATATTTGAAGTCTTTCATGACTTTAGTGAATCTCCCAAACCATGCCCTGGGGGATTGTTTTAGTCCAGAAAGAGCCTTCTTTAACTTGCAAACTCTGTTTCCTGCATCGTCTTCAAAGCCTGGAGGGATGTCCCTGTAAATTTCTTCATCTAAGTCTCTATGAAAAAAAGCGTTCTTAACATCACACTGCAGGAGTTGCCAATCAAAGTGAGCTGCCAGTGATAACAGAATCCTTATTGTATTCATTTTTTCCACAGGATCAAAAGTCTCCTGGTAGTCTACTCCATAAGTGTTGAGTGTATCCTTTGGCCACTAACCTCACTTTGTACCTTTCAAGTGACCCATTAGCTTTATATTTCGGTGTAAAAATCCACTTACAATTGCGTATGTTTTCCCCTCTTGGCTTATCAACAATTTCCCAAGTTTGATTCTTTTCTATTGCAGCCATTTCCTCTCTCATGCCATTCCTCCATTCTTTCCTTGACAATGCCCCAGACACGGTAATGAATTTTCTGTGGTTTGATGATAAGTTTTTAAGGGAAACAAATTGGGACAATGGGTATAAAGGCCTTTTTGTACATTCTCTACAACCTTTTCTAATGACTATAGGAAGGCCAGAATCATCTGTGGGTGGCTCAACTACTTGTGTATTGAAAGGAGAGTTAGATCTTATCGTGGAATCATCGTTAGAGACTGGGTTGGATCGTGAACTTGTTGCGGGTATAGAAAAGTCCTAGAGTATACCTACGAAAATCTTGGATCATTATGAATAACGTGAACTGTCACTTGAGGTAGAACATTAGTTTTTTCAAAATTGTTTTGTAGGACATGATCAGGATTCAGGATGATTGGGTTGGACACTGCTAAACTAAGATCTAATAATGGTGTATTTATAGTATGGAGGGGTAGATCAAGATCAGAAATATCACAAATGCTATATTTTAGCATTGGTGGAGTCTCCCTCTGAAGATAGGACTTGGTGAAATAGGGCTTTTGTAGCTGTGAATGTGCACAAAAGCTGTACATCCGAACACCTTAGGAATGAGGCCACTGGAACTTTAAAAATCTGGAAAAAGGTATTAAAAACCTCGAGAAGACAGTCTGTTTATCATATGGGTGGTAGCTAGGACAACTTCCCCCCAATAGGTTTTAGGAACATTTCCTTAGAAAAGTAAAGCCCTAGTTGTGTTAAGTAAATGCTCATTTTTCCTTTGGGTTACCCCATTCTGTTGAGGTGTATCGACACAAGAAGAGTCATGAATAATTTTCTATTTTTGGAAGTAAGGTGACAACGTCTAGTTAAAGAATTCCCTAGCATTGTTTGACCAATAAGTGTTTGATGTTAACCCCAAATTGATTGTGAATCATGGAAAGAAAATTAGGGATAACAGTGCGAACATCGAATTTTTGTTTGAGTAGATACAACCATGTAACTCTAATACAATCATCAATCAAAGAAACAAACCGTTGAGCTCCAGAGACATTTGAGATGGGAGAGGGACCCCATATATCACTTTGGATTAAATGAGAAGGCATAGAACTTATTTTATTAGTGATAGGAAAAGATACACGAGTGTGCTTTGCTAACTCACAAACTTCACAATAAAAAACTGAAATGTCTAATCCTTCAAACAAATAAGAAAACATGATTATTAGAACTCTAAATGCACGATGACCTAGACGAAGGTGGTAAAGCCATATGACATCTTTATTGGAAGAACTAAAAAAATGACAGAACAAATTATTCATAATGCTCCGAGAAGATTCGAGGTGATAGAGACTTTTCCTTTCCTTGGCAAGTCCAACCTTCCTCCCCGATTCTTGATCTTGAAACATATAATAAGAAGAGAAAAAAGTTGCATAGCGTTTAAGGTCATGAGTGAGTTTATGGATTGACATGAGGTTGGTTGAGAGCTTTGGCACATGAAGCACATTTTTAAGAATAAGAGACTGTAATACATATATCCTCTAAGCCAGCAACAGTAGCTAAAGAACTATTTACAACGACAATCTTTCTATCACTAGGGTAGGGGGATAGTAAAAATTGGAAAGAGTGTTCATATGTATATGGCACCTGAGTCAATGACCCAAGAATTGACATAAAACTTGTCTGAGACATTCATGCAAATAGAGGGTGAAGATTTACAAGAGAGGGCTAAAGAACATGATCTAGAAGGTTTTTAGAGGATCCTAGCAATTTTTTTTAATTTTTCTATCTCCTCACTATTGAATCTTTGCTTTTCTATGTTGTCATCTTTTCTGGGCTGCTCCGTCAAGTGTGCTTAGGATGGAAACCTTGGTTGAAACTTTTCCTGTCCTCCACAGTTTCCCCATTCATGGCTTAGAGGCTTACCATTTAATTTCTAGCACCTTTCCTTTGTATGTCTCGACTTCTTGCAGTAGGTGCACCACAGATTGTCTTTATTTTTTTTCCACTGATTGTCTTTTTCATAGTTCTTATCAATTTTTTTCTCTCCGGTTGATCTCCCTTTGTTATTAAGGCTGACCCTTCTTTGGTTGGAGGCTCGAGCATTATATCCCTTTGACTCTCTTCTGCCCTAATCAAAGAGATTGCCTCTTTTAAGGTAGGAAGTTCCTCCTCGCTAATAATCTATACTCGAACTTAATCAAACTCAGGATTTAATCTAGTCAAAAAATCATACACATGGTCTTTTTCAATAAAAATTTCAGAGTTGCAGCATCATCAAATTTTGCAAGATTGGCATATTTTGTCACTATTTTGTTCCCTTGTTTAGTAGCTCTTGTTTTGATCTTTATCTCATATACTCTTGCTGCATCTCGGTCCTTTGAGTAGGTACAACGGATAAAATCCCATATTTCCTTAGCAGTGGCAAGAAACATGCGAGCGTCACTGTTTGTCAGGTCCATAAAATTCCACAGTCACAACATAATCATTGAGTCCTCTTCATGCCAAGCTCCGAATATTGGATCACGTTTGCCTGGGGTTGGCCCAACAAGATGGCTCAGTCTTCCCTTGCCTTTTAGGTATGTGCGGACAAATTGAGACCACTTGAGGTAGTTTTTTCCATTAAGTCTAGAGGAGGCCCTAATATTTTGTATATCGTCAGTTTTCTGGGTGGAGTTCACTTCTTCAGATAAGGATGTTTCGGGGGTAGACTTTGTTTTGGGAAAAAAGAATGAATCACGACAATAAAGGATGTGATAAAGAAGAAGGAAAAAATCACAGCAATGAAGGCTGTGAAAGAACAATTATCGGAAAAATCGAAGGAAGAAAAGAAGAATTACAGCGACGAAGGCGGTAAAAAATCAGATCAAGAACCCTAGGGCTCTGATACCATGTTGCGGAAATAGGAGAGAAAAATATTCTGATATTCTCATTGATTACTTCAGATTTACAGCCTATTATGTATAGGAAAGATATAGACGTTAGAATAGGAAGCTAACCAATCTATAAATTAGAAAACTAACTATTCTAAATATATTCGAATCCCACAATTAAAGGGATATTGCTAACCACTCTATTTTCTAATTAATTTATACATCTCGACAGTCAAGATGTGATGCTCTTGAGTGTGAGGCTCTTATGTTATCCTAGCTCTCCAATTACAATATTCTTCAATTAGAATGCACTCCTCAAACATCTTAGCCATTTATCCTCTCAACAAAAGATCACCAATACTGATCACCGGCGAACAGTAACCAAGTGCACTATTTAACTCGGTAAGTTTCTTGTTGTTCGTGATGGATTACGACACTATTCTGCCAGGCCGTCGCCGATTTCTCGCCTCCAGATCGAAGCCCTCGCGTTGTTCCCCATCAGATTACACTTCTGGTTGGTGTATAGGTTTGTGACTGGATTTACAAACGACCAAGGAATGAGTAACTAGGTAATGAAGGAATGAGTAACTAGGTAATGGATATCGTTGAAAAAAGGTGTCTACTTGGGTTAGCATGGAAGGAAGGAAGGTCTATCTATTTTATTTACTAATGCCCTATGATGAACTCTTGGATAGATCGTCAAATTCTGTGCTAGTGTCAATGATATTAGATAAATATTGAAGTCTAGTATTTATGGATACATTAGGATATATGAGGTGATTTCATATAATTTACTACAGGTATTCATAAACATGATGCTTAGGTGAGTTAACTTCTACCTTTATGTTGCAGATACTTGCAATTCCAGCTATCCCGTTAACCATGTCAGCAGGTCTTTTGTTTGGTAGCTTTGTTGGTACCATAATTGTCTCTATTAGTGGAACGGTAAGTAGTTCTTTCAGCCCTAGTTTTTTTTATAATTGAT